ATTTTGTTTTCTTCTACCTTTTGAAGTGATTTTGTAGCAGGTTCCATATCTGTTACGTAGTAATTTAAACTTATTACGTTTACGTTACGTTTTATACTTACGTTTTATATTTATTTTGGTTATTTCGTCTGTATAGTTTATTTTTTAATCTTTGTTTTCCACTCCTATATATCCTAATATGATGACCTATAATATTGTGCAGAATGTAATAAAAAAATTTGAACGAAACAGCAGACGCAACGTCATTACACCTAATTTTGATACATGCAGCTTAGTCCCCTTAAACAACGTGAAAGGTTCTACCAGAGGTATTTTGAAAGCACATCGTCAAGTGGTCGTGTCGTGATAACCTATTTTCATTTATTCATAAAATCTCTGATGGAACCAAGTGGCGAAGCTACCCTTGCGTTAATGGCGGGCTAATTTTCTTTTACAAACTGAATGCTTAAATGAAAAATAAATATGCGACTTCTTGAATGTTCTGCGAGATAGAGAACGAAAATCTTTTTTGGTTTTGGCCATCGTACCAGTGAACACCTTTATATTAACTTTCCTTTACATAATTTATGAGAAGGCGAAGTTGATACTTTTCTAAATTGTTATGAAAATATATAAGTCAATATTTGAAGATGTTTGTGTATATTTGCCTCCCCAAATATTGACAAAACAAACCATTAAGTTTACTGATGACTTGAAATAAAAAAAATACTTACACTAAAATACTTTTACCCAAATTTGCTCTGCTCTTCTTTGCACTACTCCTTTAATTTAATATTTTTCATTAAAGAAATCAATCCTTTCAAAATATCGGTTTGGGTTCTTTAGGAATATCTATAATAAATGAGCAGTTCTTAAAAAATAGTTATTTTTTATATTAATAAAAATCAACAATAACAATATTCGTTTTTATACGGACTCAAATATCGGTTTACTATGTAGAAATATATTTTCGGTGAGTTTTCTGCTGTTAGCCAGGATATTTATTTTTAATTTTATATAAGCGCATTTAAAATATTAATTGTAACTGCAGTAGTATCTATGGGTTGAATATTTCTACAGTAAATTAAAAGTAAAGTTACAGCCTATATACTTCCCACTGCTGGGCACAGGTCTCCCCTGATTTCTGAGAGGGTTTTAGGGCAAGGAAGTGTCCGCCCCGTTGCCCTAATGCGTGTTGGCGAACTTCACGTCTTCGAAATATTTTTTTTTCTTATTCCTCAAACATGCAGGTTTCCTCACGATGTTTGTCCTTCACCGCCGCGCACGTGATAAATCAGCACTTAAAATTGTAATTAACAATTTCATTGGTGCCGGCGCGGATCGAACCCGAGTTACTCGCGTTCTGTTATATTTACAGCGAGCGTTAATCAACTGAGCTACCACGGCTCTTGAGCTACCACGGCTCTAATTAAAATATTTCTAAAGACTTTTATATTTTCAATAGAAATTTCTGAGTCTGATGTATCCCAATGTTGTAATACAAAAACATTTCAAGCTGTATTCCGTAATAAATCATCTCATATAACGACATAATTTCATTCATTTTAATAACGACAACATGACGACGCCTATTATGCCATTCGAGCAAGTAAAAGCAGTATCTAACTATAAGTATTCATGGGTTAAAATGCTGTGGGTGGGTGCGACCGGTCACTTGGTATTTAAAGGAATATCACCACGACCGAATTCGGCCGCATGTTAGCTAAGAGGTTAAAGTGGTAATTTTCATTAGAGTCATGTACCCCCACCCCTTTACCTACTAAACGGCTGTGTCTGGAAATGTGACAAGTAAACACAATATAAGTATATATTATAATGAAGTTAAAAGGAAAACTATCATAGCTAAGTAGAATTAACAAATTAACGAGTAATAGATGATCAACTTATAAATGCACTTGGGTTAGTAAAATTATCCTTACAATTCCATAGAAAATGACCTAAAACTAGCTGAAGATAACAACTTATATACATTACCACTATAGCTTTACTTTTTACTTTTCAGAATGGGTAGTGAATATCTTTCTTACTTACTAATTTTGCTTATTTTTTTTTACTTCGTAGTTATTGTAGCCCTCATTAAAAGTGTTCATGCACTCTTTTACATAATGCAGTTTAATATTTGGTCTCATAATTTATGCGGGCGATCTTCGGATAGTTAAGGGCGGTGGTGGTTTACAGGAAGGTTCGTTACGGTCACTTATATGTGAGGGTTGCACTGGCGCGAATATATAGATAGATAGTCAACTATGTCCGCCTTTGTACGGACTCGGCATGTAAATTAGTTGATGTAGATTGTATTATTTTGAATACCGAAACAAAGTTTAAATCTTTTTTGACTCCCACTCCCAACAAATCTGATTTCAAAATAAGTCCTTCAGTTACCATCGGCCTATTAGAGCACAATCTTAGTCGTTATAGCAGTCAAATTACAAAACCCTAATTCTACACTGTGTGTGACCCGACACGAACTTGGGCATTTTTTAAAATTTTTTACTTTGCAGTCCACTAGGATAGATACTACTCTTAGCGTTCTCGTCAAATGGCAGTGCCTACACTATTGTTTTCTGGTTTGAAGGATATAGAGAGCCAGTATTAACACAGGCGCTGCTTAGTAGGTAGCAGGATTAGTCCTCAGGTGTGAGAACGCATTGGTAGACTTGAACTTGAACTTGGTTGCAAGTGTCCTTCAGCTCGAAAAGTCATTTTAAATCAGGCAGAATATAAATTCGTTCGTACTTTCAGTTTTATAAAACAATCTGACCACATTATTTGAAACTGAATACATTTCATATGTATTAAGATGTAACTTATCACGTAGATTTAAATCTCAGAATTATACTCCTACTGACTATTTTTTATAATATTACTTGCAGCTAAAATAAACTGCTTACTATATTTGAGTAAAACTAAATTTACGTAATGATTTCTTATATTTACGCGAACACTATACATGATTAAAACTACTTTTACGGATTTTATTGCGTTTATTTTTACTTCTTATTTACTTTTATTTTTTTATTACTGTGTATAGGAAAAGGACCTATACAAACCGATATTTAAACGGTGAATCTCACCACCATCCTTCACAGTTAGCTACCGTGGGCAAATCTTTGTTACAGAGAGCACGAGGGATCTGTGACAGCAAACACCTGGCCGCCGAGCTTCAGCACGTCAAGCAAGTTCTGCACGACAACAAGCTTCGGGTCCCGCGCCTACGTCACAGTAACCGAGTGAAGCCGGCCACAGTCGAGCGTGTGCCTGCTGTACTACCATATGTCAGAGGTGTCACAGACAAGATTGGCTATATCTTGAAGCGAGCTTCTATTAGAACATTCTATAAGCCGCCGAAGAAGATTAGTCAGTTCCTACCATCCGTCAAGTGTCATATTCCTCTACAAGATGCAGGAGTGTACAAGCTTGATTGTGATGTGGTCTCCCTTATATAGGACAAACAAAAAGATCAATTAGGACCCGCGTAAAAGAACATATAGCTGATGTGAAGCATCAACGTTCCGGGAAGTCTGCAGTTTGTGATCATATCCTAGACGGACCCAACCATTACATCAGATTTGATAGACCACAAATCCTCGCGAAAGAACACCGATTCCTACCAAGGATGATACGTGAGGCTATTGAAATTAAAAAAAACATCCTAATTTCAATAGAGAAGGAGGCTGGGTACTACCACCTGCTTGGGATCCTATAATCAATAAAATTAAAACTAAACCCAAGCATACCACTGCAAGACCTCAAGACACAGTCAGTTCATTTTGCATAGATCGGACCATAAACAATAATTAAAAAAGCTGAAGGTACTTCGGGTTTAACAATGACATCGGGACGTCAGTCATCTCAGTCCCCCGTGACCATGGGTGCTGAAAAGCGCCCGAAACGTCGGGAATTAAAATAAAAGTAAATAAAAAGTAAAAATAAAGGCGATAAAATCCGTAAAAGTAGTTTTAATCACTAAATTTACGGATTCTATCGCGTTTAATTAATTACTTTTACGTATTTTTAATTCCATTTTTTAAATTAATTTTAACAATGACATTGGGACGTCAAACATCTCAGTCCCCCCGTGACCATGGGTGCTGTAAAGCTCCCGAAACATCGGGAATTAAAAATATGTAAAAGTTATTAATTAAACGCAATAGAATCCGTAAATTTAGTTTTATTCAATGTGTAGTGTTCGCGTAAATTTAAGAATTCATTATTCTTACTATATTCTTATAATATATTGCAGATGGGATTTATGTTTCTTTTATTTAGTGATTATTCTATTGTTCACTATATAAAAATATTAGAAAGAGCAATCGTACTGTCTATAGGAATTCTCCCCAACATATCCTTAATATAATGATATAATATTTTTACGAGAAATCTTTACGCACTACGCGAGCAATTCGGGTTTGATCTCCGCTGATACCAAGTTAATTACATATTTAAACGCTGATTTACCTCGTGCTCTGCGGTAAAGAATATTATATGGGGAAGCTTGCATGGCTACGAAATAAAATATTACAAATACATGTGAACTTAGTTAACGTGCATTGGAGCAGCGCAATGAACTAATTACTCTAGAACCCTCTTAGAAAAAGGAGGAGGCCGTGCCCAGATCTGCGATGAGTAAAGTATGTAATTTTATTATACAAGTAACACTTACCGGTCGAAACTTTATAAGATGACATAACTAAATTATTAAAATATCTCTTCCACCATTGAACAACTAGACGCTCGGTAGATCTCGACACCTATAATTTCGACATACCATTCGAATGAAATGGTTTTTTTCATTGTTTGAAATGCATATAGCAATGGAGGGAAATAATTCATACGTGAAATGCTTGAATATAGGCTTGATACAGCTATTTCATGATTGTAATACGAATAAAACGGCTCGAGCAGGGAGAGCCCTCAATTTTACAGAATGTCGGCGTAAAATAGCACCTTAATGTTGCAGTATTTTGTACGGTGTAAGCAGAAAACCGGAGACCCTTTATTCAGGTATCCTCGTCCAGATATCCTAAGATAGTCACAGGTTTGCTTCCTTGTAGGTCTAGAGGGGCATCGGAGCTGTCATTTACCTCATGTTTTCGAGCTGGTACGTTCAAGTTTTCCTTGAAAAGATCTATTAGCCGTTGAAACGTGGTGCCAGAATTAGAAGACCATCGACATTTTCTTAAACCTGAAGGTGCCTTATGGTGTAATGAAAGCTCATCAACCCGAAAATAGCCAGATTGGAGGTCCAGCGTAGTCACGTCGCTGGTAGTCTTCGCCGCGTGGAGCACGTCTTCCATGCGCAGTAGCGGATATCGAACTGGCTCTGTCATGGCGTTGAGTATACGGTATTCCACTCACAGGCGAACTCCGCCGTCCTCCTTTACGACTAAGACAGCCCACGCTGACTCACACTTCTCCATTATGTCTGCACGTAGTAACTTCTCCAGCTAACCGTCCAACAACATTTTTTAACCTCGCGATATTCTAAAGGGTGATGAAGCTATCGGTTCCTGCTTCTCGTCAACCCGAATGTGATGGGTGGCGTAAGTTGAGGGATCTTCCGGTGGCGAAGCACTCTGTCGAGTTAAATTATCTGGGCAGACAGCTGCTTTAACCATTAATCTTCTCTGAGTGTCAAGCTGGTGGTATCAGCTCACATTAGCTCTACACTGCAGGCAGAAGTGAGACTATAAGACTATACAAAAGTAAACTTCTGTGCGACAGAAGTACAAAAGAACCAACTGTTATTTTGGATTCCGCTAATTAATTAACTTTAACGTTTCCATTTATTTTTTTGCATTTATATCAAATATAAAAGTTCACCATCTGAACAATATGCTTATAATATAAAGTGACGGAAAATTTATGGAAAAATAGCGTTAACAAATATACTTAAATTCCAACAGATGGTAGAGTCCATTCACTTTACTTTTTTAAAATTCTTAGATATGTAGGCTGCATTACGATGTTTGCCTTCTCCGCCGAGCACGGGGTAAACCAGCACTAAAATTGCAATTATCAATTTTATTGGTGCCTGTGAGGATCCCAGATTGCTTGAGTTTTATAGCGAGAGCTACTATGGCTCGTAAGCGGATCGGCTCTTTAGACAATGGTCTAAACTGTTTTTTATGATGAAAATAGATGAGATTAAAGAGAGAGAAACAAATAAAATACAAGATGTTTTTAGGTGCACACTCTATTCCCTCACTCACGAAATCTGATGGGACGGCATTCCAACATGACCAGAGAGAGATTCGACAAGTGTTTAAGTCTTTTCTGAGGCATGCGGGTGAAATACCGTGCAGGTCCTGACTCCGGACTGATTGAGAATTTCTTGACAGCAAAACTCATCATATGATTTCTGGATGCCCTAGGGATTTAAACTAGGGAACTCATGATCAGCAGTTGCACTTACGATCACTAGTCCAACGAGACCAATTGGTGAAAATATTTAGAAGACTTAAGATTTTGAACAAATGAACTTTGGCATTCTTCACTTCATTTATATATAAAATTAAACTTTATTTTAACAGTAATTTGATTAGCCTTGAAGATATCAAGTTTTCCTATTAAATAAGAACCATGTTTAAAGGTTTAATTTTATACTACTCTATCATATTATAAGTAACGACAAAGTACGAAATCATGGTGATGGAAGCTTTGAATCATTATTTTTATAGCGGCATTATGACGGGGATTATACGACTGAAAATAAAATTGATATGACAGGCAGTGATTTCCCAAGAGAGAAACTTATTGCTCGGTTTAAAGGTACGCTATAATATTTACTTTTTCTGGTTAGTAAGACTCCTATTCTGCCTAACCACTTCAATAACATGCTGTAAGTTATTTACTCTCCGTCCTCAGATTTGACAACGCATATGTATTGTGTATCTTTGTTTTGTTTGAGTTTGTTGTACAACCATCAGGTCTATTTTAACTTAGTTCGCCACTTCAATTGAAAAAGAAATTTACAACTTTGCTCTCTTTTATCTTCATCATGGACCTGCGTTTCGTTTCAAACCATCTGCCCACCGTGGTGAGTATTGGAATTTTTTTAGTTCAAGCCATAGACAGAAACCTAGGAGTTCACCCAAGTACCCCCTAACGGGTTCCCGCCTTATCACTCGTAGCTAGATCTCCCACGTCGAACTAAGAAAGCCTGACTAAGCGACTAAAAAGTGTTGATTGCAAGTCCCAATCTTCTTACCTAAGCGGCTGAAACGTGGTGGAAAATGGCGGAACCGTAGATCTAATTACGCTATGCCACTAAGGTAAGGAAGACTGGTACTTTAGATTTCATTTATTCTGGTCCTATGAACTGTGTTTCAGACTTGACGGAGTTTAAGGTCATGGGGCAAAGCGCGCGCGAGTGTTGATGAATATTAGCTGGAAGTAAAAGAGGGATGAATTGTCAACTTATGAATAGCTTACGCTAGTGGGGCCGTAGATGTGTGCGAAACCGATCCCATGGCTCTGCTAATATGTGGCAAAGATGTAACACAATTGGAATTTATACATGTAAAAAGGTGTTTGTCTGTGTAAGCACTGCTATGTGGTGATAGAAGTTGACAATATATTGCGGATAAGAGGTTCCAGCCAAAACGGTTCCGGATGAAAGGAATTGGTAAGAAGTTCCGGTATAAAGAGTAAGCCGAGCCAGTATGCTTTCAAGCTGTAGGTATTCTATCTCAGTTCTCGGAGGTGACAACACATGGACTGTAAGTTCGTTAGTCCCTTCGGTTTTATAAAAACACAATGGTGCAGAGTAATAGAAAAATTGAAGCCTGGTATCATTACGTTTACTGAGCACGTGCAAACTACACGTCTCCTAACGAGAGTCCGAAAATGTCCGATATTATCGCAGTCGCTTGCTAATTCAATTTTTCTCAATCATTAACAAGTTGCAGATTTCCGCCTAATGTTTGGGTTACGAAGGAAAAAGCTAATCTACAAAACATAATACTTTATATATATGTTAAGCGTGATGGAACTACGCTGCTACACTATGGCCGTGTTTCGGATGGTGAGTGTAGAGAACTCGAGACCTTTTTACTGGAAACGAGGCATTCCATCATAGTCCTCATGGGTGACAACGCATCTGCTTTTTGATTCGTAATCGAGGATAGATATAGATGTCTATGGGCTACAGCAACCACTTACAGTCAGCTGGAATGTGTGCTCGTTTCTCACCCTATACTACAAAAAAATACGAGCTTAAAATGGAAAATGAATGCTGATGTGTTTAATATAATAAATTAAGAGAACCAGAGGCCTTTTTAACTAATTACGAAGTATTCTATCGTAGTTGTCAGGGGAGACAACGAATCTACTTACCATCATATGGACTGTGTACTCATTTATCATCCTCATTAAAATATCATTTTACACATTATGATTCATTACTAATTTCCCCTTATTCTATAAAAATGTCTAAATTATTGTATAATTACATTCAAGAGACAGTGAGACATTCAGACTAAGATTCTCATGACTTCAACTTGGCTCGGGTAAAAAACTCAAGACCCGGGACAATTATTTTAGTTATTAAATTCCTTGTATTACAGGTCAAGGTCATTAAAGCGGTATAAAATGCAAGCGCAACGATACTGGTGGTACTGTACTGATAAAAAAGGTATTCAATGTTGGTCCTCGCATGAGTAACAACGTACTAAATTTGATTTTTACTGAGAACAATAAAATAATTTTTGCACGGCACTGACCTTAATTACACTCTGTCACTGTTACTAAAATTATTATAAAAAGCTTCTCATGTTAACATATTTCTATATTATACGGGGCGCTGAGTACATTTCATATAATGATGATGATGATAATGAATGATTACGTCCACGCGCGCACACGTTTTTCCTTATTCTTTCATTAACTTCATGTAAAAGTTCGCTGCTAAACGCTCTCACATCATATGATGCACCTTCCATGTCATTGGTTAAAAATGATTTGAGATACATTATGTGTATGTGAGTGGATGTTCTTAGAATAATTTGAGCATGGCTTTGACTTTATTTCCTATTAATTAGAAATATTCAGAATTTTCGATCAGAACTAGTTAAAATACTTAGCTAAATTTTTTTTTCCAACTGATGCCTAAGCTTACATCTGCTGATGTGCTGTAATAGACAGATAAAAATGCTGTTTAAAATTATAACAAAACACAATAAATTTCATGTAAATGGTGTAGAATTTGATGAGGAACAGTCGTTAATTTCAAATAAATCATTTTGAAAATTCCGCAAATAAACAAACAATATAACTTATTCTGTCGAAAGCGGCGATTGAATTAAAATTTATTCGTCGCGTAAGCTTTTATATAATGTATGTATGGTTTTTTTTTTATAGGATAGGGTGACAAACGAGCACACAGTCCACCTGATGGTAAGTGGTTGCTGTGGCCCATAGACATCTACATCTATCCTCAATTACGAATCAAAATGCAGATGCGTTGTCACCCGTGATTACTAAGATGGAATGCCTCGATGATGGTCGATAATGCATGAGTTTTAAGTGCATTTGAGTTTATATATTAAGTATCGATGGATATTGTCATGACAACTACGGACTAGTGACCTCAATGGGATCATTATAACTCATGATCAACACGCATTGAGTTTTTTTTTTATTTATATATTGTATGTAAAAATAAAATTATGTAATAAAGGTAATGTTTCATACGTTTTTTAACAGTCTGCTACGTTTTTTTTCATCGTTTTTCAAATATGACATTATGTTGGTGTAATGTGTAATAATGAAATATAGGTATGAGTTAAAAATGGTAGCCAGTAACAATAGTTACTGGTTACAAACTCATCGGCCTTATACAGCTTACTGCTGGATTGTCGCATTATATTAATTTTCCATGTTTGAGCTTTATATGAAATAAAAAAATTTACTACGCTTTTAAAAAGAATAAAAAATGTGTTTGCCTTCAAATTATCAATTTTTTAAAAATATATTTTACAAAATTTGTAATAATGCCTAGGAAAATATAATTAATGGAAATACTTACACAATTAGTGAAATAATATATTTATTTAATATTGTTTCAAGGTCTTAATTTCTTTTAGGCGACTTTGCAATAATTTAAAACTTTATGGAGTTTCGAAAATCTATTTATATTTAATAATTGCGCAAAAACAAAATAATTAAAAAAATAAAACGTGATATAAACGTTTTATGAAAACAGAAAAGGGGATCATAATATTTGAATCAAGTATGATATATAACAAAAAAGTACAAAAATGTCACTAAATAGCAAGTAAACCGTGTACCTTGCAGATATTGCTTTCATGAATTACCGTAAAATTTACAT